AACCGAATCGATAAATTAGAGATTCCAACAGCATGATAAAAATGAGAGAAGAAATTGAAAATAAACGTATCGCCGTGATATCCTTTCATATCGCAAAAGAGAGTCGAGTTGCCATGAACATGTGCTATATAACAAGTATGGTACATAGTTAAATTCTATAATTAGAAAATCATTATATTCACGAATGGGATAAGTGCACTTAAAATCCTAAAATTTATCACGACAGTGCAATCAAGTTCTGAAACTTTCATAAGATGAGATCAAATCCTAAAACTTGTCAAACCGGTTCAATCGAACCCTTCCATCGATTACACTTCTCGAAAATTTTTATGATCCGATTGCACTTTCGCGATAAATTTTAAAACTTTCGGTACCTTATCCATTCACAAATCGTGCCGGAGGGAATTTCCGTGTGCGCTAAAAGTCCAACCCTAAATGTCGTACCTCGTTTTTCACCTCGGAGGGCTCGGAGAAGACGGTGATGGATTGATAGGGGTTTTTGTGTGTGTGGGGGCAGTAGGGCCCCCACGTGCGGGTGGGGTCCCACGGGCCATGTGACCCGGCCCATATCGATGGTCGTGGGAGGTCACATCATGCCAGCCCTTTTTCCTTACCCTAGTCCCTACCGCAGTAGATAGACCGAAGCTTCTGGGCCCCACCTCCCCCCCGCTCTTGCCGGCCTTTGCGCCCCGACGTATGTTTTCGTTGTGCCTTTTTGTTTTTCCGAGAGGCGACGATGCGAAGAGCAAAGCGCGGACGCATCGTTTGGGGTAACCGGCGATCGCAACTTTGATCGTCCGGCGCGGTTGATCGGGACGTGAGGAGGGGGGAATTCCGTTAGCTTTGGAATCGGAGATCGCCCGTAACAGCTCCACCCATCGTGCGCGCAATGCGAGCTGCTCTGAGTCGAGATAGCATGCGCAAGTCACGGATCTGGACTCGACCATTCCACGAGACCTCTACGACATTTCTAGGCTTTCGGATCGACGGACATCTTTTCTTGTGTCGTGAGATTTAAAAGCAAAAAAAAAATGGTTAATGCCACAAAAAACTTCAAACCGGTGCACCGATCATATTTACCTTAAACTAATTTTTGTATTATAAAAACTCTCAGATTGATAAATCCGCGTCACATTTATTCCAAATTGGTACACTCGTGCCACCATTTACCCTAAACTAATTTTTCTTTCATGAAAAACCCCAAACTAATACATCCGTGTCACGATTACCCTAAACCGGTACACTTATACCACATTTACCCAAAAAATCTCAGATTTATCGTAATTTGGGATTAATGTGGCACAGGTGCATCATTAAGCCTCTATGATAGGGAGTCCCACATCGATTGGGAGAAGCCAAGCCCCTCTATCTAAAAGCTTCTAGCAGCTGCCCTCACCTCACAAGAGCTTTTTTGGGGATGAGAACCTTTGTGAGGTATTGATGTACCAGTTTGTGAATTTGGGGTAAATATGACACATGTATATCAGTTTAGAGGTTTTTATGATACAAAAATTAATATGGGGTAAATGTGGCATAAATATACCAGTTTGGAGTATGTTGGTATTAACCCAAACAAAAAAAAGAAAATTTCTAGCATAACCAGCTTTTTTCTTTAGAATAATGACAAGGATAGTCCTTGAACTTTAGCCCAATGTGCAATGTAATTCTTGAACTTTTACTTTTTTAATGTAGTCCCTGTACTTTTGGTACATGTTCAATGTAATCATTGAACTATATGAAAATGTTCAATGTAGTCCTTCCATTAATTCAAGTTTAGAGACTACATTCAACATTTTCACATAATTCAAGGACTAAATTGAACATGTACCAAAAGTTTATAAATCACATTGAACAAAGTAAAAGTTCATGGACCACATTGAATATTAAGGTAAAGTTCATGGACTACATTAAACAAATTAAAAGTTCATAAATCATATTATATATTAGTCCAAAGTTCACGACCGTCTTTGTCATTTTCCCTTTTCCTTTACTTCTGTTTCGGACAGAATCAGCTCATAATAAGTCGTGATTTTCAGGACAGATCACGACAGGGGTCACGCTATAGAAAACCATTTTATTTACCTGCCGACAGAGTGAATCTTAATTATTGGTAAGTACAAGAAACGAAGAACAACCTGACGGTTCACGAGCGGTATCATGTCAGAAGGTTGGACCGAAGGTGGTGGGCCTTGTATGATTCAAAAAGCCCAACGTATATCCCTAATGTAATTTCCCATAGATTCATGGTTACCCACTATTGACTTTTCATTAGATTTAGATTCCATGAGTGACAGAGACAATGTTGTAGTTTTGTAAGGTCCTGATACCAGAGAGTGATTGCACTAAACAGGAAAAAATCGAAGTCGGGATTGTCGAGAACACACCGGCCGAGTCGTTCAATCAGGGGCCGACTTGCTTTTCATTCAGCCTATCAATTGGGAGACACCAAAAGGAACGAATGGCCATGGCTGTGATGCTCCGGAGACAGGCAGTCCCAGGGTCACGCCCCGACAGTTTTGACGTAGCTACATGTCCACCCTTGTTAACCTTTCGCGAGTTTTGAGTCGGCTTTGACATGGCCCAGTTGTTCAAATAGGACACAGCTCACTTTGCCCTCTTAGGAAACAAGCATGTTGCATGTGAAGTGACCCAGTTGGAGCTCTACTGTTCCGACTCTCAATGCATTTCTCACGTCATGAGGTTCTCATTTGGCTTGTAGGCGAGCAATCAACTTTGAGCGTTGAGCAAAAATTTCTTACTACTGAGTATAATATAGCTCGACGACTCGTCATCTGCCTCGGTAAAGAGAAGATCCTGAGATCCGCATAGGGATGGCTCGCATTGCATTGTGTAAACTCGATAAGGGCAATTAGTAAACTACCAAATGGTGAAATATTGATCTCCAGGTGTCTGGATTAAAAAATTTCAGCACGAGGTGTCTCAGATCATGGCAAAACAATGCAAGGAAAGAATAGCGCAGAGGCTTTTTTTTCCGCTAAATGGAAGGGTACAGACAGCTAGTTTCCTCACAGAGGCATCTTTACTTACATACAAAACTCAGCTCGCATGTACACGGGGGATGAAGTGGGGTTCGGAAGGTAAAGAGTTACCTGTATTGAAGTCGAGGATGAAGCATCAAACCTAACATGTGTGCCACATGAAGACCGACAAGTCGGCATTTTCATATATGAACAACGCCAAAAGTCATGCGGTCTTCCTAGTTTTGGTATCCATAAGATGAAAAGACCGAATCGTCATCGGCACTTAATCTGTCCTCCCTTCTCGTTCTAGAAGAAGATCCGCCGGCTGCCTTCCCCGAGCTTTGAGCAGGCTGGGTACTCGGTTCGTACTTCTGAGAGGCAAGGTAATTCAGCGCAATGACCACATCACCTATGACCGGCCTCATGGAGGGCTCCTCTTGAACGCACATCGCAGCAATGGCTAGCGCTTGGTACAAGCCTCTTCCAGGATACCGGCCTTCAAGTGTTGGGTCAGCCATCTGGGAGAATTTTTTCCTATCCCGGAAAAGGGGGCGTGCCTGGCCAATATTTCATCACACTCGTTAGTCAAGTTAAACTGCTAATACACACGCTATCGTCTTTCATATCATTTAGATGTATTTCAAAGTTTCAACGTATATTAGATTGTGTTTTTCATCAGCTTCACGAAAGAGAGTTTCCAGCAGGATGAGATGAATGTATTCAAGGCAAGTCCACAGGTAAGGAAGACGAAAATATTCTCAGGTGGCTAAGGAGTCCATCAGACAGAATTCTGTTGGAAAATCAACACACAAATGCATTTACAACCACCATAACCTCATCCTCAAGAAATGAGCTTGAAAATATCAATCGAGAGCTTGAAGCACGAACATGAATATATTTTAGGTTTAGAATCTCTTCTTCCTATACAACATTTTTCTTCAGATACAAGCTATTTTGTACCGGTCAAACATGTAGTAAATTGTACATTACCTATATATTTTCATCACACGACGATTCAGCAAACAAGCATGCAGCATACCCAAAAAGCAAAAGATGTGCAGGGTTTATCAAAATGATCCACCTATGAGCAATCAACAATTACAGATAAAACTCTCAGAGGCCAACATCTGATGAATGTCTTTCTAGTTAAATTTCCTCTTAAACCAGATTATATGGAAAATAAAATCACAAAGGACTAAGCCATAGAGGCAACACTCTAGAAATTATTCAGGACATGTCAGAGAGGTGACGACTCTCATCAATATTTTTGCTCTGTAAGCTCATTCTTACTTTCAATATAAAACCAAAAAAAAAAAAGCTCATTCTTACTTGGCATTCATGCTTGTGAAAACTTCAAAGTTTCTCCGTCTAAGGGCAAGGAGTATGTACCGTAGAAGGTCTCCTAACTTCCAAAAAACCAGAAGATGCACATCCAAAGGTATAGTGTATTTAATCTTCATTACTTGGAGTCCAACAAAGAAGATTCGGTGGTCTATTAGGTAACCCAGCTCAAGTTATGAAAGAGATCAAGCATATGATGACAATTTTCACCGTCCTATCAGATTGGCCAAGGTAAAATAGATTTCCAGGCATTGCTGCATAATCTGCTTTTTCACTAAGCTGCACATCTGTCTTGACTATTGAACTTAAGATCAAGCAAAATAAAACGGGACAAGGTTTCATGCAAACTAGATCACATAGGGTATCTCAGGGAAAAAAAAAACAGAGAGAGAAGCATATAACAATTTAAGGATAATAAGTACAATTAAGGAAATATTGCAAATCAAATAAAATATTTTTGTCTGTCAGGCAAATCAGTTATGACTTATCAGCAGAGAACAAGAAAGGTAGTTGTATCTTACCCAAGCGACAAGGTACTGGTCCTTGGACTCTTTCAGTTGATCAAACGCTTTTCTTCCTGTTATCAGCTCCAGAAGAACAACTCCAAAGCTGTAGATATCTGATTTGAATGTTAACTGGCCTGTCATTGCGTAATCTGGTGCACAGTAACCATAGGTACCCATAACCCTGGTTGACACGTGGGTCCTATCCCCACTTGGACCCACCTTGGCTAAGCCAAAATCAGATAGCTTAGGGTGATATCCATCGCCGAGTAAAATATTTGAGCATTTCAAATCACGGTATATAATAGGAGGCTTCAATTTGTCGTGCAAATACTCGAGACCTTTTGCTGCTCCAGCTGCTATTTTCATTCGTGAATTCCAGTCAAGTCCTTTTCTAGTTGACGGAAGGTCTGATCAGGCATAAAAGGAGATTATTCAAAACACTAATTGGACAGAGTGAAGAACTTGTGCGCAACAAAAATCAATGCACGCTATGAACTAAAGTCAAAGGATCATAACGATGATAGCATTACAACAGAATAAGCAGGCTGAAGGAGAGTTATTTACCATGCAGATGGGTTTCTAGTGATCCTAACGGCATATATTCGTACACCAACAGTTTCTGATCTCTCTCTGCACAAAAGCCAATTAATTTCACAAGATTAGGGTGATCAACCAGACTTAGCATCGTTACTTCGACAATAAACTCCTTTGTTCCTTGAAGTCCATTACGATCAAGTTGCTTGATCGCTACTGCCTGCACCAAATCCAAGACAAAATTAATGTCTTGCCACCTACTAACCAAAGAAAACCAAGAGTTCACAACATGCCCTAACACACACCTTTTATCTGCACCAAAACATCAAGCTTAATAAACATGAAGTATAACATAGCAGCAATACATTCCTCCTCAGTCTCAACATAGGCTATCTTTTACGATAAAGTTCAGTACCAGAACTTTTAAAGACTCGATAAATAGCACGGACTTAATGAAGCAATAAGAAGCCAGAACATGGGGTATAAGGCTTACATTGACTCAACCAACCTGGTCAGTTCCCTCTATATGCCCCTTATACACTTTGCCAAAGCCACCTTCGCCCACAAAACAATCCGATCTGAAATTGCCCGTGGCAGCCGCAAGTTGATCGAACGTGAACGTCTGAGCCCGTACATCTATATTCAGTTGGTCATCGTCTCTCGCAACCTCGTGTCTCTCTACCTCGGATTCTTCCGCATTTCCGCAAGCATCGACCTTCTTCGCAGTCTCTATCAAGTAGCAAAAGGCAAAACACAAAAATCAAGTCTTGAAATCTGTTTCCTCATGAACACAACTTAAGGCACCGCTACAGATGGAATAAGCAGCAAAAGTTTCAGAGGAATTCAAAGAACCACGCTATTATAGTATAACAAGACTTCACCCTCAAACTTTCTTTCTTTTCTTGCTTTTTTTTTTTCTTTTTTTGGCAAGTTCAAGCTTTGATCTTCCAAACATGCAAGATTACGGTAACGAAATCTACCCAGGAGAAAACTTTGACCGAATCGGAAGGAAAATTCAAGAAATCCACCAACAGCAGCCCCACGAAATCAAGAACGGATTTTTAAACCCAACACCCTCAGTTTCAGCTCGCAAGAGCGCCACGAAAGTCCAAAGTTCTTTCAACAACAGGCAAAGTCTCCCGGCTTCGACACGAAACGCGACAGGGCATCGCCAAGGCTTTTCAAAGAAGTTTTACCCGGAGCAGCTCGATCTTCCGCTTCCTTCGCAAAGCAATGATGATTGTTGTCGCTGTCGCTGCTGCCGTTGTTCTTGTTGCTGCTGGTGGTGGCGGCGGTGGTGGTGGTGCTGCTGTTGCTGCTGCGGCGCCTGCGCACGGCCTCTGGGTCCTTCACTGATTTCCCACTGCATCTGAAGCACCCCATACCAAGCTCTCTCTCTCTCTCTCTGCGTCGCGATCTTTGCAATCAAGAGGGAGTTGGAGCAGCCCCCAAAAGGCAAAGAGGAGAAGAGAGAGAGAGAGAGAACAAGAAACGCCAGAGACAGAGAGAGAGAGAGAGAGAGGAAGAGAAGGGGAGCAAATGTGGCAAGAGAAGTTTTGAGATTTTTGGGATGGTTTTTCATTTTTTTTGGGGGGGGGGGTGGTTTTTGTTTCTCATGTGTGAATTGTTTATGGAAATTTTCCTCGTGTCAATTAAATCTAGCCGCGTAATATGTATGAATTTTCACATTCCCTTATGCAAAGAAAAAAGTTACTTGTGGAATCATTCTAGGACCTGCTAGTTTGTACTTTTGAAAAAGCAATAAAATACATATATAAAATATCGCAAAAAATAAATTGTGGATTTATATGTCATTTTGTATGTTACGCAATTCTAGACCTGTCAAATGGGTAGGTCGGGTCATAAATGGTCCGACCCAAATTGACTCATTAACCCATTTATGACCCATTTATGCGTAATGCAATTTTCTTGATCCATACCCGACCCGACCCATATCCGACCAATACTCGATCAGACCCATATTGTTAAAACACTTCCATATTTAATTAAATCTAGAAAAATTCATACCCAAATGGAAATAAGAGTGCGAAGTGAGTGAGTGTAAGGTTGAGTAAGGGCGAGAGAGATGAGTTGAGTTTAAATAAATTATAAACTCATTTATGACCCATTTATGACCCATTTAATACTAATATTAGACTTCTATCCATTTATGACCCATTTACTAAATATAACTAACCCTTTATGATCCATTTACTAATATATGGGTGAAGAAATGGGTTTATGACCCATTTTGACAGGTCTACGCAATTCTAAGGAGTTTATGGTTAAGAAAGAGTCAAAATGCGTCGGTCGCAAACTTTAAATTAAGTAACTAGTCAAATTTTATGGATGGTTTTTTTCTTTTTTGTTTTTTTTTTGGCATGTCGTATGAATTTTTATTTGTCTATAACAATGAACATTATAATCTTTTTCTTAGAACCTTTACATATAGACGCTAAATCTATGTTTCGCATAAACTTCGGCTCGATTATCATGATGAAATTAGACAAGCGGTAATGATGCAACTTTAATTGAACTTCGAAAATGATACGTGAAATTTGGTGATTGGTGGGCATGCCATAAGCGATGAAACATGATTAAAGCAATTCCAATGATCATCCAACTATGACATGATCTCAAAAAGGTTGAATGCACTCTAAAACCTTCATCTCATGTTAATTGCGCGTAACGAGATTGTATGTTACTTCTTAATTTTTTATGCTCGTCCGGTATTCTTCATCTTTTGTACGTCACACTACCAACGAAATAGCAATAATAGAGCATGATGTCATAATAACTTTTAATATTTATTAATGACAAAAATAGACAAGGCGTGCACAAGTCAAAATTCGAGATAGATGGTTTTTCGATTTCTAAAGCATACTTACTATAACTTAAAGAGATGACCTGATGTTCACCGACCAGTCAAAATCCAATTAATGTCGGATCCATTTATTTTCTCCCCAAATTTCCATTTTCTCCAAAAAAAACAAGCCGGGCTACTCCTAGTCCACATGTCAAGCATGTGCTTTCCATTCAATCGATCAAATATCGAATTGGGAAATATAGATACTTGTATTATTAAACATAAAAATAAATTCTTTAATTTCAAATCTTCTCTCTCTTCTTTTTTTTTTTTAATAGGCAGGGTGTTTTGTCCGGTCATAATTGATCAACCACAAATGGTGACGTGGAGGGCATTAATTGCCTAATTATAAATTACTGCGAGCTCCCGGTTGGTCCTCTGTCTTTTATGATGTCTCCCCCAACCATCTTGCATTGACCCCATCCTCTGATGACCGATCCACCACCGTGTGATCTGATTAAAAATATCTAATTCTCAAAGTCAACCTTTTCGAAGTTTGCCAAAGCGCGGGACCCGCGCCCGAATTCATTCGCATTTAAAACGCACCCCCCCTCCCCAAAAAAATAAAAATCATAAAAAAAATGTTTTTCTCCCTTTTTTTTTCTTATAGAAGCCAATGATTTCCGACCCGACCCGATATCTGGAGTTTTGTGCACAAAAAATGGTCCGATAGCTCGGGTTGTTTGGAAAATCGAACGGACCCGAAACGACCCTTACTCGAGAAAACCATATCTTTTGATTAATTTGAAACCGACCCAATCCGGGCTCCGGATGAATCGGATTCAATATCGGTTCGAATCAAATCCAAAAGTGGAGCACTCCCCTTGAATGTGTTGATATTGGATCTTGACGCGAGTGATTAAATGCGAAATCGGAGAAAATCACACTTGCAATCCGCATCAAACTTAATAAAACCCGAGATATGACATGAGAAGCTGAGTATCCATTGACCTGAGCATGGATGGGACCCACTAAGGTAGCACAAAATGACCCAAACATGTAAGCTATCCGAATTAAAAGCCTCTCATGTACAAATTGATTTGAAATGTGACAGGAATCGATTCAAATTTAGCCAATACAGTGTCAATCTCAAGCTCAATTAGTCTCACGTGATTAGGACCCAAGACTTAACTCGAGCTTGACTGATCTGCTTGAGCTCATCTCAAATAGAAAATCGGATACTAGAACACAACTTGATTTCAATCCATCGTAAAGAAATCCGAAACTTCACCTCAGGCTCAAATATCATAGACAAAATCCATTTCTCGAAGACTTTTATGAATATTCTGATAACGGTAAGAATTTTTGTTAGGCCATAGATCGGTCGAGTTAATAATTGGCGAGCTCGAGTTCGGCAATCGTCGAATCGAGTCGAATCGAATCTGAAATGTTCACGAGTAACTCGACCGAATTTTATCTTTAGTTTGAAGGGGCGATTCGCCACATCCACTTTTTTCTTCTCATTTTTTTTTTTAAACTTTAATTCACACCGCTGTCAGCCACGGAAGTACGCGGTTTCTTGTGCTGCCAGCCGGGCCAAAAATTACCGTCCACATATTTTGACCTTTGAACGGGTCAACCGTCAACTTTATTTTACACCACCACCACCGCCACAAGAGACGAAAGGGTCATTTGCTTTGCCAACAACAAAATCCACCGTCGTAGATTCTTGTAAATATGTTAATAAGGAGAATATCTTAAGATTTCAAATCACTTTAGGGATTCATTTTAGTCAAAAAGAAAGACGAGAGAGAGAGAGAGAGAAAGAGTCGATTCTAAGGCTCTAAGAGAGGTTCACGATGTAACAAATAGGTTTGTACTTTTGCGAACGACTCTTACGAGAATGTTGCATCCCATGCTCTAGCCCAGTAGAATGAGCAAGCGCAATGATTCAACTCTTCAGTTAGGAAGACATACAAAGTAAGCGCAACGATTCAACTCCTAAATTAGAAAGACCTTCAAGGCTATTGATGAAATAACTGATTTGTCATACATATAGATTGACATCTGATTCGAACCTTTCCACGTGCTCCCTCTCAAGCACTCCGATAACTTTCCTTTATATCACTAAAATTCAAATTCTTGCATTTGATACTTGTAATAATCTACTTCGTCACGTTTCAAGTATTCTCCAACTTATTTGTCGATAAAAACGACGTGTCTAATTGCGTGACAATTTATCTCTTTGATTGACGTGTGGTGATGGGAAAGAGGGAGGGGGGGGGGGAGAGAGAGAGGGAGATGTGAGCTTAACTATCTAGGACGTATGGATATGTCATAGTAAAATCTCGCGCATCAAGCTTATAAGTCACCGTTCCCGTGAAAGTCATCCATATATTGAGTGTAAGCATACCCTAAATTTAGTTAGAGCATGATAATGACGAGCTTATAATGGCAACACACCCAAAACTTCCATTTTGAAAGAACTTTCAATATTGAACCATCAAATAACCAATGGAGCAAAATTTAAACTCGAAAACGACCTCGACAGATCCCTCGTAAGCCATGCCAATTGGTGTACAATTAGTGGCCCGTCCGTCACAAAGGGCGACCATGGCCGGTGCCCAAAACCCTTATTACGACTCGACAGGTGCTTTGATCGCTTTCGCACTGCCTTTTGTTTATGAACCATGAACTTCGCGACACATGGAAACCAACAAGAGCTCTTGGCAGCGCACGCGCACGTGTCGCGAACCCAGTCGCTCGTTGGAGATAATCATCGGGGAACCGAAAAGGGTCCAAGCCGTTTTTTCAGTTTTCCAAACAGCTTTATACGTCTGGAGCTTCCGTGGACAGGTCAGAAGCTCCATTAGTGTTTTTAGAGATATCGACGTCTTGTTCTCGTACAAAGACAAAAAATTTTAGGTGGGTTTACGTTGGAGTGATGTAATCAGTGCAATAATCGTGTAGAGCTAATTAGATCTTGAGGGAGAGATCTTTCCTTTGACACCGAGTGATTAGTTGAACTGGAAAGAGAAAGGACGTCAGAGTTATGATATTGAACTTAGGGGGGTTTGTTCGTTAAAATGATTGATAGACAGAAAATCACTTATGATTACAGAAAATATGTACGCTTAAAATTAAGAAAATGAATTTTCTAACTTGAAAAGAAACCGAAAAAGAATCTCTCAAAAAGCAAATATATTTATCGCGAAATAAACAAACCCTTAAATTGGGGCAAAGTGAATTTGTAGCCCTCAAAGCTTGTGGATATGCAAGTTCTATATTTTCAAAGCTGTCCCTACGTGGTGACATCGACGCTCTCTTTTGTGCTGTACCTTTCTCGGCTGTGAACACCTCCCCTCCTTTATGTTTGTTTCAGGAAAATTGGTCAAAAAGACATGACAAGTTTGTCTTTGTTCATCAAAGCCTCTGCAAAAAGGCGTGGCTGATATGCTTACTCGTGTTGGCTTGGGATAATTAAGGCTCTGGAAAAATGGGGACGTATAGCCGAGATTGTTTCTCAACAATCAAAGCCCTTTGAACTGTGTTGTCGACATAGACTGGTTGCGACAGCACTTTGTCCACCCCTACGTGCCTGACCGAGCACGTCGTGCCCAGGTTTTTCTTCTTTCTCAGGCTGCCAAAGCGAACAAGTTTTTGACAAATGACGCAACCGGATAGAATCTAACTCAGCATCTTTAATTGCAGGAAAGGGCTATAACGTGGTGAAACATTCTAATTGGTGCTGTCAACTGTTGAAAGAGCTCTACATGGCCCATGACTTGGACAAGGAACCAACTAAAAGAAGAACATATTATTATTACCATTTCTATGACACATCGCCCGGGTATATTTAACATTCACTTAACGGTAATTGCAGTTTCACAGATTGACATGTGATTATTCCGGCATAGGTAAACCGACAAAGATGACTTGATGACCACACATGGCGTGGGTCGTGGCCATCGCGTTTTCAATCAACTTCTATCAGACTTATCTACGACCGGATCTGTCACGTGTCAATCTTCACTAGATGAAGAACCAAAAGGAAAACATTAGCAATGCGAAATTATTTTGAATCCACAAGTCTTATCTGTTCGTAATCTCCTTTCCCAGATACAAGAAATGTATGAAGTTCAGTTGCTTCTTTGAGTTTTCATAACAAACCTTGATTTCCAAAACAAGACTAAAACATCTTTTGGTAAAAGACAAGGCCAGTGTAAAGGTTCATATTCATACATGCCTTCGCACTCTGAACAACAATGATCGACCATCCACATGCATTCCTCCTTCTGTCATAGAACACTGTCGCAAGAATTGTCCTTCGAGATCGAGTCGTTGCTCTGGCAGTCATCGCCCGCTTTGCTGTCAGACCTGCAGCACCAGCAATAAGAGATTACTATTTCAGCTTCTTGCTAAAACATGACATTTAGAGCAAAGAGATCATTTCTTGTCATTGCGATTTCATACGTTATCTGCCGAACAAACTGTCCTCGCACCCGAGGTCGCTGCTCTGCTAGCTTTTTTCTGCTTTCGTAACGAACCTGGAGAACAAAACACAAGGAGACACTGATAAGAACAGAGAGCATCCATGAGGTTCATGAAGTCATCATTCTCCCAGTGATAGCTTCTATGAATGCCATGTGAGCTACCAGCAGTCTACAACAAAGCTAAATACAAAGATCACATGCAAGCACCAACAGTAGAGGATTATAGTCAACTTCACAAAATAAGCACGATGGTTCTCAGGTCTGAAGATATTTGTATATCAAGCACGGTGGATTCTGAAACTTACATATAACCAAGTAAAAATTCTACTTTCTATCCTTGTACTTTCATGCATTTTCTTATCAAGTGAAATTACCTTTTAATTTGTCTAATCAAGTCATTCTATTTTCACAAACTTTGTAATCAAATCCATTTGACACTAAATTCTCCCAAATCTAGCTGCATTGGCCATTGGATGATGTCATAGTGTGATGTGGACAAAATTTTTCCAATGGGAGCGTCCACTAGGGCATCCACATTTGCTAAGTTATATTCACATCATGTTATGACGTTGTCTCCATTGTCTAAATTATTCAACGCACATCCACATTGGCATCCAGATACTCTATCCGCAGCATACCTTGGAGTTGCCCTACAGCCTCGTCAGCTGAATTTGACTGGATTTGGTGTCCAAAGGAGTTGATTAGAAATTCGCTAAAGTAAAAGGACTGATTACACAAATTAAAAGTATAAAATCTCGATTACAAAAAATGTGACAGTACATAGACGAAAGAGTAATTTTTCCTACAAACAAACATTTTTTCTCCATAAAAGCAGAAGCAAGTTAAGCGCTACAAAGTCATTAGATTCAAAGCATTATCATTGGTTCACTAAAGGATTATACAGCAGCTTAGGTCTATGATCAAAATTATGTTGCTTCACAGCAAAGAACTAGAAAGAGTGCTCATTACCCTCTTCTCAAAGCATCTTTCCTTCCTCTTCTGTCGAAATTTGGACAAGGCTGCCTCCCTCAGTGCAATTCGCTCTTCATCTGGTCCACCACCATTAACATTCTCAGTAACACCACCATCTCCAGTATGTCCAGCAACTCCATCATCCTTTACCTTATCACTCTCTCCACCATTTGGCACACTTTTACTTCCAGTATTCCCGTTGCTCCCAGAGATGCTCCCACTTACACTGTAGTTCCCAGTATTACCTTCTAAATGATCTTGGAATGCATTTGATGATCCACATTGTGGAGCTGCTCCTGCCATGTTCTTGAGTGAAAGATCCTTGTGGTCAGGTTGTTGTTGTTGCTGCTGCTGCTGCTGCAAGCTGTCGAGATGATGATGATAGTGGTGGTGGTGGTGGTGATGGTGGTACCGGATATGAATGTGCTGACGTGGACTGGTTGACGGTGGTTGGATTGTGTTAGAACAAGCATCATTTGCCCTTCCAGACAGCTCTTGCCAAGATGAAGACACAAAACCATGCTGTACTGGTTGAAAGGCGGAAGACTCCGAAGATTTGAAAGTTGATACTACTACTTCTGGCTTTATAGGAGTTTTACTACTCAAAACAAATTCATTGTTGCTGCTACTCGTGTTAGACTGACGATATGGAGGAGTACCAAGTGAACGAGAAGGAAAATCGCTCTCCATTCTTACTGCAACTGAACAATTATCAAATGCAGAACAGCTTCCAGTAGTCCCTGCCCGACCCTGCTCCACAGTGGACGTAATCATCACCAAGACAACAGTCACTATGAGTAAACTTGAACAGAGAGACGCTGTTAACATCTTAGCTAAAAGTAGCACTGGTGTGGAGGCTTGTTTAGTCTAGTCTGCTGCACACCAGTTTCTTCGTGCCAATAATATGCAGGCACGTATGTAGATTCCAGTACAGCAATCACATGGTACATCAACTTAGAAGCTAGACAAGTTACCTGATTCGCCGAAGAGGTTGCATTGAACCTGCAAAAACAAAAACATCGCAACAAGAAGTTTATCCTGATCTGCAAAACAGCTTAGATGAGTTGAATCCAGAAGTTTCCTTCTTACTTGGAGAATGCTGATAGGCCAGAATGCCTCAAAACTTTGTGATCACCAAGGGCACTTTTTCCAGAATCGCCCACTCCTTCCAGCCTTTTAAGTGTTAGTTCAAGTGATGGAAGTTCTTTAGAATCACAGTCAGCTTTTGCTTTTGCATGTGAGATTCTGGAAATACCATCTCTGGTGTCAAAAACTGTACTTTCAGTCTGTGCATCTGGGCAATTGGCTGTTCCACATGTCAAATTGGCTTCTTTATTTCTAGATTTGCCACCTAAGTCAAGGTCGAGCCCCAATTGTCCTTTATCAAATGGTTTAGGTTCTATAATGGAGGATGCATTCTTGGATCTATCATGCTGATATTTATGCTTAGAATCTTGACATCTCTCATGTTGATATCCAGGTTTAGAATCTTGACATCTCTCATGCTGATATCCATATTTAGAATCTTGACATCTAGAGGCTCTTTTTCCATCCTTGCCCATTCCAGCAGTGCCTACAAGATTGAAATGTATAGATAAGAACATGACCAAACAGATGTCAAGGAGTTTTTTTACTTCAAGTCGCTAATGTTCATTAGTACCTGGTTCTTCTTCGTCCATTTTGAGTGTTTCTGCCCCAGTATGAACCACCTGAGCGCAAGTGCTATCAGGAGCATCTGCCCATTCATTCGAAGGTGATACTGGTTTAGGGCTGTCAACTTCGGCCGTCTTATTTGTCCATGAACTCTGAGAAGATGGAGCATTAATAAGCTGAAATAGTAATAACACACTTAGATCTACCATAATCCGAGTCTTTTGACCTGATGCTTATACTGTTTACAGATATTCAGCCTTTTCTTTGCTATCAACAGAAAACGAAAAAATTAAAGGCATCTCTTTAGTCTGCAAGGTGCAGTGATTATTAAGAATTTGGTCTTCCCATGCTAAAGCGAACAGCAATCTTAATGAATCAAAAGGTCATCCACCATGCCGTTGCTAAAAGGGACTAGTAACAAATCTTAGCCACTATCCCTTAGTTGTCGAACTACACATCTCTGGTGTACTACTAGTTGAGCAAAAAACATTCTCGTGATAGGTCCTGAATCTGGTCGGAATGCGTCCGTTTACACTTTAGCAAAAGCAAAAAGTACTACTTTTTAGCTTTCCCGCCATATCAAATGTCAAAAGATTATGAAAAATTATACTCCGATCTATGTCGACATTAATCTGTTGCGAAAGTTTCAGGTGTTTTGGAGTAAGAAAATCAAAGCGCATACGATGCAAGATCTAAATGAAAGAAAAAGTAAAAGTCAATCCATACATGCCAGTAAGATCACCTTTTTAGTCCTTCCCTTAAAATACTACATCCTCCCGAGTAAAAGCAGCATAAAAGTTTTTCCAGTTGGTCAGTGCATCCAAATGAGCATGGCGCTATTGATTATATAGAACGTTTTTCGATGCAAAAGCCAACAAAGAGGTAGCACAGACTATTGCATTAGCTCTCTACTTATTTTTAGACTAAAGAAGAGGGCTTTCATTGCACCAAATATCAATAATATTAAAAGGACTAAGATTGTGGTATGTGGGCCCACGTATATGGAGAAAACCTAAGATCACTCATGATGACCTACATTGGGTTCCATCATTTGGACTTTAAAGAAAAAAGAACAACAAACTTAGATGCAGCCCGCTATTTTTGTGATTGTATATCGTTTTGCACTGAAGCGTCACAATGATTTCTTATTTCTGATAGCTTGCACCCGTTGAAACCAAACCCTTCGACAGTAGTTTCTGCAAAGAAGTTTTTAAGCTCACTAAAAGAAGGCAATCACACATTTAAGGAGAGAGTATGGGCAATATGGAGGCATGCTTGGATGAGTGTACAAAATTTACAACCCCAAGAGATTGCTTGGTAGTAAAGGAATGGCATGCGTGTGTACATTAAGCACACGACACAGTTCCCATTTCCCTCACCTGCAATTGCGAACAATCTAATGTTTGACCTATCCACCCGTGCCTTACTCCCATCTTACCCGGTTATTCGTTTATTCAAATGCAACATTCATTTCAAGCAAACTCAACCAAAGATATTCTGAAGTCTAAAGAAGTCCTGAGATAGGAGAAATTAAGATATTAAAAGATTCTTCTCTTTACTAAATTCCAAAATTGATTATTGTGGATTGGAGAGGCTATGAAAGCCTCGTTTAGGATACTAACCATCTAACCAGAGAACTTTATGAGTTGCTTGAGCCTGTTTTCTATATTCTACTTGCAGGAAAAATCCCTTCCATGACATAGCTATGCCTAGGTTAGTAGGATGCATCCTCAGCACAGAAAGGAGGGAACAGAAAGATACCTAACTGGATTAAGAATGGATCAACAGTGGTCCCCCCGCTCACTGCACTACACATGTCTAAGTACAATGCAGCCTTGAATTTCTGTCTTTCCTTTTTTTTCTTTTTGTCATGCATTTCTCTTATGGTTTAGTAACAACAGATCTCTCTCTCTCTCTCTCTCTCTCTCTCTCTCTCTCTCTCTCTCTCACACACACACACACACACACACACACACACACACACACACACACACAAAACAAGACAAATATGCAACCAACCTGAAGACTGAATGCTCCTCCCAAAGGTAATCCTCATTCTAGCTCTTAAATAATCAGAATATTGTATTTTTTTAACAAATCATGAAAAAATTTCCAAGCATCTATAGTGTTGCTATCATTATACCAAGTGGCTACAAGTCCATTAGGATTGACATTTACTTTCAACTTTTTTGCTTAGTTTAATTCTTGCGACTCACATAGTTTGACTTTCTTTTTTAAATCCGAAACACTTGGAACTTTCACAGAGTGCAAATATTGATGAGTAGATTCACGTATAAATTTTCACAGTTTTGGAATTTGAATAGTATTTTAGACATTGGTGGAAAAGCAAATTAAGTTGAAAGAAACAGAAGCATACACCAAAAGTAAAAAAATGGACCCTTCTTATTTTTGAATAAGTCATTGTACTTTGTTATGCAACTGCACCATGTTTTGAGTCAATAATGAATCTAACTCAAGAACTTTTTACTGTTTTGAACAGATACTCTATGGAAGTTTTGACTCTATTTTTCTCAATTAATGACAGGAATACTGCTTTCCCCATGTTAATTTTAGCAATACTTAAATTCTATATGAGTTTCTTTTATGAGAGAGACATTGAGTAAATTTATCCCCCCCCCCCCCCCCCCCAAACCTCCTCCTTCCCACAATTATCATGGTACAACTGCCTCAATCTTAAAGCACTGCAGTCCAGCTACTACAATCACTATAATTTAATAGAGACAGTTCGATAATGTTTTTTTTTCAAATGTAAATATATGAGGATGTTATCTCTCATCATCCATTGTAGACATGGGACCTGGTGTAGCCATTGGATAATAGGCAGATGCAAAAATCCAGTGGACATCAAGTCCCGATCCTACTTGTTCGCAGTGCAACTAATTTCTGTTCCCAAATCTGCCCATTGGCATCCAAATCCTAGACCTTCTCCCAGTATGTCATATGCTCATCAAGGACACATAAGAAATAAACAGCGACTATTGATTACATACTTAGACCTTAAAGAGAAGCTCTCTAAGTCTAATTTCAACTGGAGTAAACGATGCAACGAAAAATTTGAGCTACTTGACTCAGCAAGGGTTCAACTCCATTCAATTATGATCAGCTCCTTCCTCATTGAAAAGCATTAGGAAAGAAAGGCGTTCTATATGCCTTGAGGCACCATTAGCCACAAGAGATTGATGCCTCTATGAAACAAGAAACCCCAAAATCAGTGCCTTATTGCTAGATATACATACCACGCACGAGGAACAGATGTGAGAACTTCTTATCATGTCAGGCTTTTTCCGGTCCACATGCAAATTTACCTGAGTGCCACTTCCATCATCACTTCCATTCCGCATGCTCAAACCGTTACTTCCATTATCCTGCTCTTCACTGCTACCATTATTGGTCTCAGAGTCATCATTGCTTCTCAATTCCTTGAACGTTCTGGTGTTTGTCCCACTCTCACTTCCACTGCTGCTAGACTGAGAAAAGATAATACTTAACACAATGACAAACAGGAAATTGCAACAATAATATTTCATTCAATATAGCCAACTGAACCAGGATAAACATTAAAATATCAGATAGACAAATCCATCATACCAAAAATGTCAAACAACAGAAATACTACTAGGGAAATTCATGTGCAGACCAAGGTCCATGGACCGGGGTACAGCCGTTCCATTTAATGGGACCCACATGCAACAGTTGTCATTGACCCAGTCCAAGCGGACCAAGGTCCATGCAAGATTTTGCCATCCTACTGAGAGGAGAGAAGACGTGCCCTTCCTAAGAAGAGCTCCTTCTGCTTCTAGTCCCTATTGGCACTACTTTAACCTATGGTAATAGTCCTTATTGGCACTACTTTAACCTATGGTAATAGTCCTTATTGGCACTATTTTCACCTATGCTAAACTGGCAAACAAGTTCAGAAGTTAAAATAGAGCGACTATCGCAAAAGATGAACTGTAACTCACACTGTGGCATCTCCTCCACACATGCTGCCATAGGTTCTTAAGTTCATTCTTTCGGATAGGTTTCACCAAAAAGTCAACTGCACCCTTTGACAGACATTTAAATACTATGCCCATAGAATCATGAGAAGACATCACTGCAAGAGTAGCTCATTAGGTGCAATATTCAAAAGCATTAAAACAGCAATCATAGTCGTGGAAAGCTTTACCATATCAAACTGCCCATTTATAGTGAAGTAATTCTTACTTATTACTGGAATATTCTTCAAAGTCTTGTGGCCCATAATCTTGCTAAGAAGACCTATTCCCGATAGCAAAGGCATGACTACTTCTGTCAAGACAAGGTCAATCTGATCTGTTGGATCTTCTAGGGTCTTCCACGCCTGAATACCATTTGCAACAGCAGTAACTGCCAAGACAAATTGAATATAAAAGGTCTGAAGGAAAAGGTATGAGTACACTGAGGGTTCATTTGGTAAAAAAATGCCAAGGCTGTTCCAACAAAAAGTCTGATTTCGGTCAGGATAATCAATCGTAGTATAAATTGAAGATCCCATAAAATGAGACACTTTAGAGCATTAGCAATAAACATGAATCCCCAATCAGAGGTTTTTCAACCCCCACTTACTATCACAGGCCATTGGGAAAGATAAACAGGCTAACTCAATCCCACCAAACATTCCCTCGACAAACATGAACCTAATACACCATATACCAGATTTAAAACCTTAAAACTTTACAGCTTAAGTGCATTGGGACTAAAAGAATCGCGAAAGGAATGACAGTAAGAGATTCTTTCACACAACAAGAAAGTCCTTTAAACAAGAAATATGGAATCGCGTGCGTGTCTACTGTCTATCCTATCCTAAAAGCTCTAGAGGGAAAGTGGAATATCCTTAAAAAAGTGCATAAATGAGATCTTGCGTTCAAACGATTAACAAGATAAACAAAGAAAACATTTTAAGATCACGTGTCAAACCCATATTTTCAGTTCAGTACACATGCACGTAATCAATTAATAACATGAAGATGCAATTCACTATAAAAATGTCACAGAAATAACAGTGAAATTACTGCCACTAGCTTGAATGTTCATGTGAATGTCAAACCAGTGCTAACCTTCATATCCACAATTCCGTAACAGTGCATTAACAACTTGCCGTGTTGAATCATCGTTTTCGACAAGAAGAACCTTAACTGTCTTGATGGGGAGGAACCTCTCCCATAGTACCATAGGCCCATGAGGCTGTTGTGGCCCTTGGGGCTGTTGTGGCTCTATTCGAAAACCATCATGTGCCTGAATATCCAAACTAGGATAACCGTTACCATATTCCACTACATCATTAGACCTGGAATTGTCTTCCTCGGATGAATTCCGACATTGCTCCTCATACAGAATTCCATTGGTTCCTCCATTCTGCTCATGGTGATGAATGCTGTGTTCAACGGACGCCCTATCATTGCCACCGTCATTGTCCACTGGTAGAGCCCCCATCAACCGGACTCAAAATCAACAGCAACTAGAAATGCCTGATAGCTCGATTGACCATATAACTCATGCATGACGTCCGTTAGAAGTTACTGTCTGCAAGACAAACCTAGTGATGGAGTTCCAAATCCAACAACTACTTGTAAAAAATGAGGCAAATAGAAAAGAACAAAAGAAATCTTTATTTAACCCAGCCGGTTTTTCACTCATCAGTGGTTATTATATGCTAAAGACAAAAAAAAAGCCTGATCCAAAAGCCAACTGCATCCAGTGACGATGTTGGGAGTTATAGAAAGTGCACGTAAAACAATGAAGCAACTCATTTAGGTTGAATTCGTCTGAGAAGTAAAAGCAATAACTGGACCCATAATTGAAAAAATTTGGAGATGACGACAAGCAGAAACTTTCTCATCATACAATAAGGGGAAACAAAAACTTCAAAGCAACCCTCAAAATCTGACAGCCAGGAACAATCCATGTGTGTGATAAAACATCTCACAAGCAACAGTGGCAGAAGACAATCGTAATATTCACTTTTCATATTCATAGATGGAAACTCTAGTCATCAAATGATAGCAGCAAACCTGCTGCAAGCTGTCAATACTGATCAATAAAATCACCAAGGAGAAGTCATCCCAGACAAGTACACAATAATGGATCAGGTATGCTTGTCATCCACATCACTTATTTCGACCAACTACCACATTGATGACTTGCTCGCCCTTCCGTGCCCCATAATGGAGATTTCGGCACTGATACATATCAATATACCCTTAATGATGAGGAAGGACAGTAACATCCACACTTCCAGTTAATAATTGAACTTAATGACAGACACCTCGAGCCCGGAGGCTCTGGCATACTCTGTAATATAGTCTGCAGGGCCGATGAAATACGCCGTTGACCACGGAAATCTCCTCTTACCAACTTCAAAACAAAAACCACCTCACAGCATCCAAGCCGCCTGTGCACATAAGGCGCACAAGCACATCGGACTAAGGTACGGAACCAAACAAGAACGAGCCTCTGTAGCTAAGAAAGAACAGAGCAGCTCGAAACAAAAAAAAAAACCTAACCACGATCCCAATCCTCCCAACTCCACGTCCGCGCGACCGCGGCACCAAAACGAAACTAATCTGCTCTACCAGATCGCTAAGGCCTCGGTCTTTTCCAAAACGAACAAAGGCTAGGACCTAAAATCCAAAACCGAAGACAGAGGCATCCGAAAAACCTCGAAAGAGCTCGAAACATCATCGAACCGGAAGCTACTGCGACGCTGCGTAATCAGAAAGATATCGAAAGCCAAGCAAAGCTTACCTCCTCCGATTCCCTAGTGAACCACCACCTCCATTCCCGAGGCCCGATGCAGCAGCGGAAGAGGACCTAGATCAGCACCCCCCATGGAAGAAACGGATACGGCAATCCACAATCCGAAGCTCGGAGCACGAATTCCAGAGGCGAGACGAGCTGCGAATCATTCGCTCCGCGCGAGCTGCTTCATCGTGCGAGCGAGAAGGAACTTCAGCGAGGGAGAGAGTGAGTTTGACTGACGGTGGAGATTGCGAACGAGCTCTTCTTCTGGTTCCAGAAAGAGAAGCGACAGGGTAGAGAGAGAGGCAGAGAGTAGAGAGAGAGGGGGGGGGGAGGGAGCTAGATTTTTTTGGGGGAGGCGCTCTGACGTGTCGCAAGTGGAGGTCCGCAGCGGCTCCGTGGTCCACGTGTGATTATGGGCCCGTCCTACGTGGGCGGGGCGGAGTCGACGTGGACAGTATCAAAAGCTCGAAGACCGCGCGCGCTCCGTGGATCCCGCGAGGTCGTCGAGATCGCGGCTCGCCACGTGGCGCGCTGCGGTTCGGGGACTGCTACTGGATCGCCTACGCGTGGGACGTCGTCGTTTGGTGATGGCTCTTCAGATGACAACTTGAAAATACGTGCTCAAAATAAAAAATATATATGGTTTAAGCCCACCAACGGGCACGAAATTAAGAAAAGATCATTTCTTGAGAATTGGTATTTTTTATTAATAAATATATTTAAGTTCGTGTCAATGTCGTGAAAATATAACATTTTGTGAAATTTATGAAACACCAAAATAAAAGATACAAATCGATTTTAAAAATATCGCAATTGACATGATATCAAATAGTTGCCATGCTATCACTATAGCAAAATTTTCTTAACCCATCATAATTCTTTAGAAATTTGACCAGAAGTTCTCGCTTGCCTCACAAAATACATTTTTTAGGCATAATATAGGCATGAGATTATAGAAAAAAACTCAAGATATCATCCGAACAAACGATAAAATTCAATTTCCCTCCTATCTAATGGTAATGTATTTCTATTAGCTTATTACTCATACACTGACCGACTCAATATATGTCTTTCGACACCGACACAAGTAATCACTTGTAGAAAAAAGAACTTTTAAATCTTTCATTTTCTACAAAATAAATGCATCTTAAAACGATGGCAAGGGTTCCGCCATTGCCACGTGTTGAGTGTTGATTGGTCCTTCGAAAACTATGTCATATTTTACCGGTGGTTGGGCCGAGTTGGTGGAGGAGCTAAAGACAGGTTCGATCTCCGTGATGTCATCCTGTCGTGCTCTCTCTCTCTCTCTTCCATGTTTTCCTTTTTGTTTTTTTCTTTTTCTGGAACTTTATTTTTTTCTCATTTTCGTTCATTTTGCCCCTAAATAAAGCCTATCTTCTGTAAAAGTTCTATTTTTTCTTTTTTTCTCCTCCTTTTCTTTTTCTTTGCTATATTTCGTAATCAACAGCCCAACCGCGCGGCCGAGTTCGTATATTTCTTTCTCACTTTAATTTTTACCTTTATTAACGGTCCTTCAAAAAACAATTCAAATCCCACTATAAGTAAATTCTTTACTATGAGTAAACTCTTAAAACAGACTTTCTACAGTATACTTCCAGAAACATATCAAGTAGAAGGAAGAAGGCCTTTCTTCCCTCCCAAGAAACACAATCACTGTACACACCAAATATCTCTTCTCCTCATTTACCCAGTCTTACAACAACAATCACAATGCAAACACCGTCAATTCTCATGCCCCGCGGCAACAAGGACAACGCCCTACTCGATCGATTGCCGCTTCCTTATCGTGATTCCGTGAGCAAGCCATCATGCCACACCACCACCACCAATGGAAGACAAACCGAATCTCTATTTTACTCTCGCACCCCAAATCTCATCGTATATGGATATACATACACTCTGCATCGACAGCGCAACAAAACATCTCCGGTGGAAAGATGGGACGTGCAGCTGCACGATCATTCCGACTTCTCGTCCGGGTTGAAATTCAAAGACTCCAACCATATAAGCTCCTTGACATCTTCCTCGTTCAAGGATGCATGTTCGAAATCGAAGACAAAAGGAGATGAGCAAGTGGGCTCTTCGTTGATCTCGTGGAGGCTTGAGAGATATGGATGGTTCAGAGCTTCCTCGACTTGACACACGTCACAATATATCAAGACTATATTCCGAAAGCAAGCGAGAAGAATTCATGGAAATGATTCCGTAGGAATTGTACCTGTTATCCGCTTGCTAGGATCGAATACCAGCATTTTCTCTGCAAGGTCGATAGCCAAGGGGGAAACAGTCGGGAACTTCTGGGAAAAGGACCTCTTTGAGACGTGTGGAAGTTGCTTCACGTACTTGCGAGCATTATCGCTCCTCAGAAATCCGAGATCTGAATCATCTGGGGATCCTAAAAGCTGGTTTTGATGATAACTATGAGAAGATGAATTCATGAAAACCACACCAATCAAGGCAAAGCTAAGTCGTCAATGAAGATCCGTTACATGTCTGCATTTTGTCCAATACAGTGCCTCCATTTTTCGTCATTTATAGGAGCTAAACTTGCTAGTATATCTTAATAAAGTACAAGGAACTCATATCAAAGGGAGATACCTCAGTTATAAGCCCCAACTGTTGAACATAATCTTTGCCAGGAAAAAGTGTCTCCCTTGTAACGATTTCCATGAGGATGCAACCCACAGACCAAACATCAATGGCCGCAGTATACTCTGAGCAGTTAAGCAGCAATTCAGGAGCTCTGTACCATCTGGTTACCACGTATTCAGTCATGAAATCAGTCTCTGATGTTGTTCTTGCAAGGCCAAAATCGCAGATCTTGAGATCACAATTTGCATTAAGAAGCAGGTTGCTTGGTTTCAAATCGCGGTGCAGAACATTTGCAGAGTGCACATACTTAAGTCCCCGCAACAACTGATAGAGGAAATACTGCAAGATCCAATTGAAAATGCCCCCTTTAGCTAACAAATGAACAGAGAGATTTCGGAATGACTTGATTGTAGCCTTATACATGCCACAAATAAACCTAGACAAAGAATTTGCTCTACTGAGTAGCATATGCAGCCTAACTCCTAAAAATCAAGGTAACATCACCGAAAGAGCTCCATGTGTTTTCTCATTTTTCACTCGTCTCCCTTTATCGCTCTCGCCCCCTCTATTTTCTTCCGACTATCCTTTCCTTTTCGTTCACTATCATCGCATATCCTTTTAGATGCTGAAGAGAAGATCAAAACAACTGCTTGCTTTAGGAAATACAACCATGAAAACACCTTAAATAATGCATCCATCCATTAGCAGCAAATCCCCAAATCAGCCCATAGGCAAAACTATCTATAGTTAAGAATGATTACCCGCTCTTCGAGAGAAATATTTGACAGAGAATCACAATAGGTGATCAGGATACATTCAATGGTGTAAACAAACTTCAACAATTATCTATGAATTTCGAACGACAGTTTCCTAGTTGAATAATAACTGTCAGGGGGTGGAAGTTTTTCTGGGGAAGCTCTTCAAAGTTGATAGGATAATACTGACATTGGACATCTGACTATCAAGTGTGAAGTGAAAGATGTGTGTTACACTAACCCAAGTCAAAAAATTTCTTTTCCGAGTATTCTATTTACAAGCGGACTCTATTTACAAGCGGAATAGGTACTGTCAAAAAGGGACAGACTGGAATCTATCTTGAAAAAAGGAAAACACAGAAGGCACATGCAGATTAATGTGAGAAATTCACCCAATGATTTGGCAAGAGAGTAAAGGATCGAACAGCTAACTAACCTGACAGTGATCATCCGTCAAGGCCTGACTCGACCTGATGATCTGATGCAGATCGGTATCCATTAGCTCGTACACAATATAAACGTCATTGAAATTTTCTTTGTTCGGGGGCCTGATAATGTCCTTGATTTTGACTACCTGCAGAACATCGGAAAGAATCACCTCCATCATGTGTTATATTGAACTGAAACCATACACAGAGAAGTACCCTCTTGCTATTTCTGAGTTTTATAGAGTGAACGACGGTTTAAAAATGGAACTTTCATTTCAAGAAGTTTACACAGAAACGCCCCTGTCTAAAGAACCACTATGCCCCAGTTAAAGTATTTTTGTCACTCGATCTTTATGATTCATGAAAGTAGTTCAAACATCATGGCACGTGGAAAGGACTTTGGTCTCTATGAATAACTAGAATATACTTCTGCAGAAACTCGATCCAAAGATGGAAAGAAAGATACTGCGCTCCAACACTGAAAAGGTACACTGACAGGACGCGCCGCACTCGAGACACCGTGCAAAACCTTGTGCAGATAAAAATAGGAAATCTCTGGTACCGAAACCTTTCAGCTAACACTCAATTACTCCAATTCTTTTTTCCGTGATTACATTGTCGTGGTCCATGTGGCAAAGGAGCTTGATCTCCCGGAGCGTCCTCTTCGCATCGATCCTGTTGTCGAAAGCATTCCCGATCTTCTTGATCGCAACTTCTTCCTTCGTCTCCGCATTCGTCGCGCAGCTGCAAAAAGGTCATCCGATCATCCTCCAACACCAACCACACACCAGAATCCCACTCTCCAGATCCAGAAATGCAGCACTCTCTGTACTAGCGAACGCGCACACGAGCTTTCAACTGAAAAATCTCAGCAGTCACACAAATCCACACACCAGCAGAAACAGCCATCCACACGGAGACCGCAAGAACTCGCGACTCAGACCCGCTGGCGAGCAATTAAAACCCGATCGAAGCGTCAAAATCAACGCTCGGCATCCAAGCTCGGCGCCCCCGATCCGATTCGCGAGAGAGGAAAAAAATCAGGAGGACTCACCAGACGATGCCGTACGCGCCGCGACCGATGGGCTGAATCGGAGGGACGTACTTGGACGGCACTTGGAACAGGTTCCCGAGGACGCTGTATTGCACGTACCTCCCCCCGCCGCCGCCGCCGCCGCTGCCGTTCGGCTTCGCGGCCACGCCCTCGTTCTCCATCTCAATCTCTCCTTCGAGCAGCGAGCAGAGCACGGCGGCCGGTCGGAGCGAGCCGAGGCTTAGTCTTTTCTCTCTCCGTCGCCTCCCGTCGCGCGGTGGTCGAGGGGTTCTAGAGAGAGAGAGAGAGGATGGAGGGGGACAATGGCGACAGTCAAGACATAAAAAGAGAGAGAGAGAGACAGAGAGAGAGCTTTTCTTTCTTGGCTTTGCGAGTGGGAAGAAAGTTTGAATCTTGGGGAGAAGTTTGAATTGGAACGAAGGGAGGGGGGGCGTGGGTGGGGCGCGATTGACCGCGACTATTGACGATTCCTTCCTTCCTTCCTTTAACGCCGCCCTCCCCCCCCCCCCCCCCGGAAGTAATCTCGACCATCCATTTCTTTATCCGCGAAGCAGTGGGCCGGATACCAAAGTTGCGAATGATAACCATTCTATTTCAGAAATTAATTTCCGCCCAGAATCACATCTTTGTATTTCTATTCTATGGACGAGTTTTGGAGCCAAAATACGTGTTTAATAACGACACAAAATTTCTGTTTCTGAAATAGAAATTCGTTTGATAACGATACAAAATTTCTTTTTCTCGAGCGTCCGGCAGGCTCTCGGGGCCGACTGGTGTAGGGCGGCGACGGAGGATGGCAGGTGGCAGCAAGCGACGGCGAGAAGTGGCCGGTGTCGAGCGGCAAAAGACGGCGGCGGACAATGGCGGGTGGCAACGCTAACGGTGGGAGGCGGCCATCGTCGGGCGGCGGAAGAAGATGGCAGACAGCGGATGGCAGAAGGCGGCAACAAGCGGCCGGCGCTGGGTGAGTGGCCGGCTAGTAGCGAGGGCGAGCGATGAGAAGAATTTTTATTTTTTATTTGTGTTTCAGAAATAGAAAAATAGAAAAATTTTACTTCTGATTTCTGTTCCAAACGTATTTCTGGATTAGAAATTTGTTCCAGAAATAGAAAAATGAATTGCGTTACCAAATGAATTTCTGTTCCAAACTTGTTCTCGGAAACAAAAAAATAGAAAAATAGAATAATATAATGGCTATCATGCGCGCCCCAACTATTCTTAGTTCAATTTTTCCCAATACCCTACCTTTTTTATGTCCCAATCCCTACTTTGGCAATGGAATTACCAGCTAAAGCCCATCTTTCAGGATTGCTCTTTCGATTGTGCTGATCAAATAAGTCCGGGAAAAAGTATTTAAAAAGTCATAAATCTATTGTATTGGTACCAATTTAGTTCAAAATTTTTTAACTGGACCACTTTAATCTTAAACCTTTTGCATTTGTATCAATTCAGTTCATCCGGCCAACTTTTTTGCCAGAGATCGCCGATATGGACGTCAATGCTGACGTTGACAAATTTTTTGATTTTAAATTTGTTTGTTTCTTTTTCTTGATTGTGTTCGGGGAGGGTCAGCGGCGACCCTTGCCAAATCTGTGTTTGCAAAAAATGCATATGAGTTTAAGACTAAATTGTGTCAATTGAAAGATCTAGGACTCAAAGAAAAATTGAAAATTTATAAATTTTGTCCACGTCGAAGCCGACGTGCCACGTAGGACGATCGACATCCACATGCGTGATTTTCGGTCAAAATTAACCGGATTGACTCAACTGGTATAAATATAAAAGGTTTATAACTAAATTAGTCCAATTGAAATGTTTGATTTTAGGACTTGTTTGGTACTTTTCCCGAAAATTATGTATTGATTTCACAGGAATCGCAACAGGAGACCCGCGGGTAGAACCGTATCTAAAGTTTTCGCGGGTAATTGTTTCAGCTAATAATTATGCGATCTCTTGTTCCCTGCTAATGAAATTTACTTGCCTAATCCCATTATTAAAAGACCGTACTTTCGTATCCAAACTTTTAGCGACGACTCTACCGAATGTTGGCTTCTAGAATCGCACAACAAGAGACCGTCCGTTGACCTCCATTATTGGAAATATCTCGGACGAAAACATTTCTCAATTTCGGATGGTCCCATGAAAATATCCTTAAGCAAAAGAATAGTTCGAAATTAAAGAATTGGTGGGCATGGAAATGAGAGACGTAATTAGTCATGGAACAGCATCGTTAACCTCACCAAATTTAACCTCACCTGATCACACACATAAAAATTACCAAGTCCCAAAAAGAGAAAAAATAAATAAATGAAGGGAAAAAAAAAGTGTAATATGTAAAATTAGTGTTACACGTTCTCTCCACGTGCCTAAAGGCCAAAACTTTTTTTTACTACGGCCCATAATGATAACGACCGAAAAAGACAAGAAAAAAGTTACTGACGTTTACAGAACGGCGTCCGAAGCTTCCTCCTCCGTACAACCGGCATCGGCAGGCCGGAGTCGGGTACTCGGTGGACGGGACGGCCGCCGGGCGGCGCGCGGCCACGGCGGCGAGCTTCGACGGGGCCGTCGCCGGCGATCCTGGAGACGGCGAGAGAGGCCGGGTGGGTCGAGCGGTTCCTTGAAGACGGCGATCTCGATCCGGCCTCTCCTCGGAGGAAGCCTCTCTGGGTCCGCATCCCATCTCCTAACATAACCCCCATCGGCACACCCAAAGGCTGTTTTTTACTACGACCACTACAGCAACGAAAGAGAAAAGGACAAAAAAAAGAAAGTTACAGGCAACTATCTACAAAACGTCGTCCGCGAAGAGTTCCTCCACCTCACGTCGGCATGGCCCCGCCGGAGCCGGGGACGTGGTGGACGCGACGCCCGCCGGGTGCGCGGCCGCGGCCGCGAGCCTCGACGGGGCCGTCGCCGGGATGGCCTCCCCCGCGCCGTTCCCCGGCGCGGCCGGCGATCCTGGAGACGGCGAGAGAAGCCAGGCGGAGCAGCTTCTTGAAGATGGCGATCTTGATCTGGCCTCTCCTCGGAGGAAGCCTCTGGGTCCGCGCCCGCCGGCGATCGGGAGCGCCGAATTCCATCTTTGAAGCGGAGAGAGAGAGAGAGAGAGAGAGAGAGAGAGAGAGAGAGAGAGAGAGAGCGCAATGCAGGTGGTGGTGGTGTGGGAGTTAACGCTTTTATGGGTTATATTCTTTGGGCGTGGAAATGAGAGTGAAGTGGCCGGGTTGTGTGTGCGGTTGAACCTCTTTCGACAGCAGCAAGTTGCCAGTTTACTTGGAGATACTTGGGGATTAAGTTTCGTGGCCATTTCTTCTAGAAAAGCAGCTCCCCCTGATCAGACGGTTCAATGAACGGTGACATCCTTGTCTCCCCCGCTGTGAAAAAAGGAATCTCCCAAATGTTTTGCCTATGTCAAGATATTAGGAAAAAACGCTAATGTTGAAATCGCCACTTGAATGAGATCGAAGGATAATCTCCACCGTACATTTCTCCGGCGATGTATCGCCGACTAAGTTGATCTTTAGAATTTCTTTTCGGGAAAATGACATAAATGGTCAATGAACTTTGACCCAGTGTGCAATGTGGTCCCCGAACTTTTGATACGTGTTCAATTTAGTCAACAAACTATATAAAAGTGTTTGATGATGTCGTCGAACTTAATTTAATGGAAGAATTGTTAGAAATTTAACTATATTGGAAGATTGAAGATTCCGATTATTCACGTACAAACTATAACCATGCATAATCAGAATCGAGTGCGGAAACGTGGAAAAATCTGTACTAACCTCCAGCCATTGATGAAATCGAGAACTTGATATGCGGAGCTTTGACAATCGTCGATAGGTGCTTCTAGACAATTGCCCTGTCAACGTCGATGGTGTGTTTTTTGATATCTCAGATCAATGAATGAGAGATCAATCTTAAAATTATAAGAGGATTTGGCTTAGATGACCTATTTATATCTCAATTCATACCCTTATAGATAACTTCTCCCATCAAGATAGTTATCTTAATATTGGGCGATCATAATTATCACGTATTTGAATGCGCTCAATAAACGTCGACGAAATCAATTAATGTGGGCAATAATAAACTAAATATGGGATCACATTATAAATAATATAATTATAATATTCTCCCACTTGATCCCAACATTTCATCAAACGAAATATTAAACCAAATACGAAAACTTCATGCTGAAAATAAAACATATGAATCATGGAAATAAGTCCTCTTAAAACGAGTATTATCTTCTATGTACCACAATGCGTCTTATCAGCCCATATGTGATAACATAACTTAATGAATAAACCTTATGTTGATTATAGGTCAAAAACGATTGTTATTCTCAGAATAACCGAATGTGTACACCATAATTGAGAATAACATTATAATTGAGTAAAAGTTTCACCAATTCATCCACATGACGAAAATTTACATGATAGGAACCAATTCCTATCCAAACCACATTATCGTTATAACTCATTGGTGGCATGCCTTTAATTAAAGGATCAGCTATTATCAATTCAGTGCTAACGTGTTCTATTACTACTTTATTCTCTTTAGCACGTTCCCTTATAGCTAAATACTTAATGTCGATGTGCTTACTTTGACTGCCACTTTTGGTATTTTTAGCCATAAAAACCGCAGCTGAATTCTCACAAAATATTCTTAATGGCTTAGCAATGGAATCCACAACTCTAAGCCAAAAAATAAAACTCTTCAACCACACACCATACGAGATAGCTTCAATATAGGAAACGAACTCAACCGCCATAGTGGGAATACCAATCAAATCCGTTTATACATAAGCACGTGACCTTTGGTACCTTGAAGGTACCTCATCACTCTCTTTGCAGCTCTCCAGTGGTCTATACTTGGATTACTCTGATATCTTCTCAATATTCCCATAGCAAAAGCAATGTCAAGTCGAGTGCAAACCTGAGTATACATCAAGCTTCTGACAGCTGAAGCATATGTGATGTTATTCATCTGTTCCTTTTCAAAATCGTTCTTCGAGCATTGGTTCAAATTGAACATGTTACCCTTCACAATAGGTGCTATACTTGGTGAACAAATTTTTTTTTAATCCGAAATCTCTCTGAGACTTTATTAATATCGGTTTCTTGAGATAATCCTAAAATGCCTCGAGGCCTATCCCTATGGATCTTAATGCCAATGACATAAGATACCTCACTCATATCTTTCATGCCAAAGCTCTTATAGAGAAATTGTTTCACTTTATGTAGCAACCCCTTATCATTGGTTGCAAGTAAAATGCCATCCACATATAGGACAAGAAAATAAATTTTGCTCCTTCTGACCTTATGGTATATATATTGATCCATAACGTTCTCAACAAATCCAAAT